TCTGGTGTGACCACCATTTGCCTCACGCAGTGCAACCCATCTCCTTGGCATAGAGTGGATCAGGTTGTTGATTGTGGAATGTTGGTCCTCTTCAATGGCTGTGCCAAGTTGCTGGATATTGGCAGGAACTGGAACACGCTGTCGTATACGCCGATCCAGAGCATCCCAAACATGCTCAATGGGTGACATGTTAGGGTTAGGGTTTAACCCTAGGGTTTGCGGACCCCCCCAGACCCCCCCAATAAAGCAAAACTGCACGTTTCAGAGTGGGCTTTTATTGTGGCCAGCCTAAGGCACACCTGTGCAATAATCATGCTGTCTAATCAGCATCTTGATATGCCACACCTGTGAGGTGGGATGGATTATCTCGGCAAAGGAGAAGTGCTCACTATCACAGATTTTTTCAGATTCGTGAACAATATTTGAGAGAAATGGTTATTTTGTGTATGTAGAAAATGTTTTAGATCTTTGAGTTCATCTCATGAAAAATGGGAGCAAAAACAAAATGTTGCATTTATATTTTTGTTCAGTGTAACTCAACAAGTGCAAGTAAATACTAATAAAATAGAAATAGTGCAAGAAAGGTTGATATACAATCAGATGGAATATGATATATTAGATAAATAATTAGCGAGATGCAAACGGAAACCAAAGATTAGACAGTCCAAATTGATGTGTTTTCAGTTTGCAACGGAAGATCTGCAGAGTTTCTGCTGTCCTGGTGTCAGTGGGGAGCTCATTCCACCAATCAGGAGCCAGGATAGCAAACGGGTGTGATTTTGAGGGGCACCTGGGTCCCACTCACAGGGATAGAGTAGCAAGCTGATTGGCTGATACCGAGCGTAGTGCACGTGCTGGAGTGTACGATAAGATGGACCTTTATTAATCTGCAGCATTCTGAATTAGCTGTAGCGGCCTGGACCAAGACCTCCTGGGAATCACATACTCTGAGTTCACGTTGCGTGTCTTTACAAAGCAATGTGTGTGAGTACTAAACCATGACTCTCCTTGTCTCCAGCACTGTAGAGCTGGCGAGAACGTGTATTGGCACGCCGTATTACCTGTCCCCTGAGATCTGTGAGAACAAACCGTACAACAACAAGAGGTAGAGCATGTGGAGTGTGTGTCGTTAATTAATATTGAATACCAGTCGAACGTGAGGATCAGTAGAAGCCTCTTTAGAGAGATCCTGTCTCCTCTGTATGGAGTGAAGGTGCGGCAGGAAGCCAGTATTGATTTCCTCTCTTTAATCGTGCAGGTAATCCTCTCTGCTTTACAGTGATTGAGTTACGTCACGCATCACAGTGTCCCAGTTTGCTGTGCAGGAAAATCCCCTTTCTGCATTTATTGATATTAGATTAGAGAAGATGAGATGGAAGTTTATTTATCCCCGTCGGGAAATTCAGGCGTTTACATCAGGAACAGGTCAGAGGGAAAAACAGGATTCACACGAGGTAAAAAATAAAGATAAAATACACAAAAAGAAAATGAAGATAAAATAAAATTATAAAAAAAAAAATAATAATAATTAAAGATGAAAATACACTGAAAAAATAAAAATACACTAAAAGAAATAAAGATTCAAAATAAATATAAAATACACAAAAAAAATTATAATATAAAGATAAAATACACTGAAAAAAATAAAGATTAAAATACACTGAAAAAAATAAAGATTAAAATACACTGAAAAAAATAAAGATTTAAATACACTAAAAATAATAATACAAAAATAAAGATTAAAAAACAATGATAAAAATAAAGATTAAAATACACTAAAAACCACCGGCTCTGCAACCACCGGCTCTCCAACCACTGCCAAAGCTGTGACCACCAAGTTCCTTCCATCACCACTAAGTCTCCTATAACCACCAAGGCTCCTACCACCACCACCACAACAAATGGCACCTCCACAGGAGCCCACAACCGAGCAGAAGCTGGAGTCACCTTCTCCGTCCTCTTCGCGCTCTTCATCGCTTCTCTTGTATAAAAAAATACATGGCTGATGTTTGTCATTGAGCTAAATGAATATATAGTTATAGAAGAAAAAGTGGTAGCTACATGCTGCATTGTACTGATTTAACTGTGCAATAACCAATCTGAATGTTAAATGCACTTTTAGGCTCATATATTTACTACTTTTGTGTTTTTTTCCTGGTGTTTTAGGTGAAATTATGTATTTAAGTCATTGCAAATCATATAGAAATAGCCCTTTGTGTTCTGTAGACAGGCTTACCTTGATTACAATAATAATACAAAATTGATTTAAAAAAGAAATACACTAAAAATAATAATGCAAAAATAAAGTGATGAAGTAACTGTTGAAACAGATTTCACGGTCATTTGAATGGACATGTATACATATTTGGATTGCATATACAAAGTGACTGTTTGTGATTGATGTAAAACTTCCTTAAACTGGTCCTTGTCTCCCCCCCCCCC